TAATCGTCTTGCGTTTCTACAAATATTAGTAATAATAACGGACTTTTGGTATGTCGAATTAAGCATAAATTCACGAGGATATCGATATACGAAAACTCATAAATGTCTCTTTTGATTCAGCCAAAATATATCGAACATTTTTTCAGCACATACATTGTATTATACCACCATGAGCAATTTACCTTGCCTCTTAAATATTAATAGTGATTCTCCAAGTGTAGCTTAGATGCGTTACCAGGCCGAAATTAGGGGACACCCAGTTAAGATAGAACTCCCAACTCAGTCACAATTGTTCTAGCGAGACAAGCTTGCTATCCATTACAATATTTATTTCTGTGAAATTACAGAAAATATGGCACAAGGCCTAAAAAGGAGATGAGGAAAAGAACGGTCTTCATCTGTCTTAATTTTAAACTTAGCTAGACACAAGCATATAAACTATATTCCTAACACCAAAATAACACATTCTTACTAACCTTTCTTACTGCATCCACCATAATACGTCATTGTCTCAATGAAAATCCTAAATAGACGATATGTGACGATCTACGTTCAAAAATTTCAATAGAAAGACATTAAAAATGAGCAAAATTGCGGCTATTAAATTTGAGAATGCAGTTACTTGCGACTTTTCGAGAGCTGTATAGTGAGACGATGATAAAAGGTCACATGTAAAGTTATTCATACTCTGCTGGGTGGGCCACGCGTACCAGAATGCAACCCACTTGACGCCCATGTATCATTTTGTTTGGAGAACTCGCCAGCAACAAGAGGCTCTATGCGCGCGGAGGGGGGGGTGCAAAACAACGCTTCAAGTTGAAAATATCCCTGACACAAGACAACATCGACCTTAAGCCTAAGAAAATCGGCCTTGCTGGCGTAGGACCATCCGATGAGTGGGGGACCGAATCTTTCTAGTCCAACCTTCAACATGAAGAGGATCTGCGACGTACTGTCAGGGTTACCAACTCACCCAGCCGCGTCCACCACCCACACTTGTCTGTGAAACCTGCTCACGATTCTTCAGGAGTAGCCATTTCCGTCATCGCCACCAGAGGAGAGAAAGAGAATAAGCAGAGAGGATGACGATCCCGATGATCGGATGCGAGTGGGTGCTGACGACTATGATTAGGTAAGCTGAAATGCTGTCCTATAGTAAAGTTATTGGGATTGTCCCTAAATGCCTTTTTGTGATCGTTATTAATAATTATTATTAATTGTAGTAGAATTAGTATTATTATTAATTGTATTTATTAATATTATTATATTCTTTCGTAAACACTCAAGTATTTTTATATGCATCTATCTACAAGGACAATTTTATTAATTTTTTATTTAGGTTTTCCCTTGTTATATTTTCCCGTTTGGTGGGCGTGAGGATGTACAAAATTTGTCCATTCCATCTATTGTCCCAAGCGCTTTCGGACACTTCCTTTGACGTTTGCAAGGCGGTTTTGTTTTGATGATGTTAGTTTTTTTTCATATTTAAACTTTTTAAGATGTATTTTTTGTGTGGTTCTGAATACAAATAGGAGCGTTTGTTCCGAGCCTTCGCCTGTTGAGCATAGTTGGAAGTCGAGTGAGTGTCTTTTTATTTTTAAAAAATTTCAACACGTCACAATCAACCTCACTTTGTTAAACAAGGTGAGGTTAATAGTGGGGGAGATATCTTTGATATAACATTAAAATGAGATATCTTCGGTAATTTGATTTATATAGGATTTTAGTTTTTTTGACCAGAGTTTTTCTTAACGGCCTTTGTTCTGATAACACGTGAGGCGTCTATTCACTGAGGTGGTAATATCTATATTTATGTACATTATATCTGCCTTTTTTCTCGTTTAATTATTTATTTGTATTCATGGTTATTAAGTTTTAGAATTTAGAAGGTTCTTCTATTATCTTTTTGTTAGTAACAATAGTAGTATTTTATCATCCCAAGTTACCGCATGGTCTCTTTATTTTCTAAGCTTCAGTAGACTTTGCACATTGACACAGTTAACCTTTCGCCGGGGTGGTGTAATCGTTCTCAGCAGCAGCAACAGCAGCAGTCCTTACAAACAATATGGATTCCCCCTTTCTGGGGTATTTTTTTTTCCACTTTTGCGGTCAAAATTTTCCCACTTGTATTGCAAACACGTGGATCAAAACCGACTCGCATGATTTTTTTTAGGAATCAAAATCAATATGGAACCTATTTTTTTTCAAATCTTTACACATCAGTTTTCATTCATTCATATATATATATATATATATATATATATATATATATATATATATATATATATATATATATATATATATATAAATAAAAAATAATCCTGAAGAGCCAGGCAAACCTACCTAGGTTTCACCCAAACGGATCGGTATTACCTGACTCTTTTGGATTATGTTTTTCCCTACTTAGTGTATAGAGTACTTTACCTACTTGTCTTTTTACTCGTTTTTGGTTTTTTATTTGAACTTGGAATTTGAACTCTGGACGATTGTTTTCGCCTTGGTTTAATGTTCTTGGTTCTTTCTTTTTTTATTCACCATTTTTCCTCGGGTACCGATTTGTTCTACTGCAAGTTGAGCTATCAGAGGTTTTTCCAAGCGAGTACCACCATTTATATATATATAAAAAATAAAATATAATTATATATATATATATATATATATATATATATATATATATATATATAAGTATATATATATATATATATATATAATTATATTTATTTTTAAAAAATATGATCATTTTTCGCTACTTAAGAGTTCTCATGTTTCAAAAAACAAGAAGTAGCGAAGGAATCATATTTTAAAAAAATAAATATAATTATAATTTAAATATACTTTTGTATTGGGCACAAAAAAAAAAACAACATTTTGTTTTTAAAGAACTTATTTTTTATTTACCTAAGGTGTTCTTTCCTATTTTTCTATATATTTGCGTGCACGCACGCACGCACGCACGCACGCACACACACACACACACACACACACATATATATATATCTATATATATATAGATATATATATATATATATATATATATACATTGGGGAAAAATATATGACAAGAAGGAAAAAATAAAAATCTTCATATGTTGCGTTTCGTGCTTTACAAATTTAATCCGATGAAGTCCTAAAGCATCATGCAAAAACTTCATGCATTTTTACCCATTATTGTTCTTGATATATAAAAATTTATATGTCGTTATATATAAACACGTATATATGTTTCTAGGCAGAAGAATTTCATTACTAGGAAAATATATATATATATATATATATATATATATATATATATATATATATATATATATATATATATATATGTATGAAGAAAAATATACGAAAAAAAACAAACAAAAATCCTAATATGCAATTATGCTGTTTTAATGTTAATATAATGTCAACGTCGGATGTTTCGGTATAATAGACCATCTTCAGAACATATTCATAAAACATAATTAGCATAGACCATATACAATTCAACATGAAAAAAAGACGATGGACATAAAAAGCAAGACCAATCCAAACAGATAACTGAAATCTTTATAAGATCAGCGTTTTGTTTAAATATGATCACGTCATCATCACGTGGGCGATGTTGTGAAAACGTATTCCTAAAATTTGATACTGTCGGATCTATATCCATATATTTGCTTACATATATATATATATATATATATATATATATATATATATATATATATATATATATATATGTATGTATGTATGTATTATCACAGGCATTGAAACCATTCTAGATACAACTTAGGTGGGCTGGTCATGTTGTGAGAATGGATGAGCATAGGCTTCAAAAAAAAAAAGGTGCTGTATAAGCAACTACCAAACTCCAAGCATTCAGTTGGACGCCCACTCGTACACTAAAAAGAGAAAATTGAAAGACAATTTGAAATGTCTTAACTTTGATCTGAAAACTGTGGAAGACCAAGCATCAAACCAAAAGGATTGGTGTCAGACATATTTCATTAAGTTAAACAGTTTTGTAGACAGTAGACTGAAGTACAATGATCAGCTTCATCAATATCTGAAGCAGAGACGCCATCACAATCCTGCTTTATTTCATCTGTCAGTGTGGCTTTGTCGCCCGCAGCAAGGCTGAGCTAGTATCACATTTAAGAAAGCACAAATGAAATATGTCGTTCCCTGATTTTCTTCACAAGAGCCCCTGCTAGCATTCCTAAGTGTAAAACGAAAGGCACCATCCAATACTGACCCTCATTTGTCGCCCACCATTATATATATATATATATATATATATATATATATCGTCAGACAAATTCGCAAAAGTATGGAACCCAGAGTCACAAGCTCATATCCATACGTCTGATATATATATATATATATATATATATATATAACTTGATTCAACTTATCATTAAGCTTAAAAATGGATAAATTTATTTTATTTTTAAATTTTATTATTTTTATTTATTATCAATTTTAAAAATATATTCTTACTTAAATTTAATATAAATTATCTAAATATGACTTATTTTTAATTTTTCTATAATATCTCATTTTTAAGTATAACTTGTTATTATTTAAGTAGAAACCTAATTGCATATATTATATATATATACCTGGGAACAGCAGCAATTAAGAGGTGGTTCCACACTATTTAATCCCCCCCAAAAAAATAAAGGCCTTGTTGTTTATCGTCATAGGCAGGTTGCGGATGTAGTTTATCGTCATACCCAGGACGAAATTAGTTTTAATACAATTAAATATATCATTTAATAAAAATATTTTCTTTATTACTTTTTACACAATTTCTGTATTTTAATTACTTCTTTTTTTAACATACAATTTTAATATTATCGTTTTTATTCAAAAACAATTTTTATACAACGACCCCGATTTCATGGCCTTTACGTGACCCGGGGTATTTAACATTTAAACTGACCAAATAAAATATTTCATTTCTAGGTATGTTTTGTACGATGAGTCGCCGAAAAGTTCTCTAACTGACAAAGAAGGGCTTACAGACATATCACGTTGAAATATTGGTTCCCATACAATCAGCGAAGTTAAACAACGTCGAACCTGGTCAGTACCAAGATGGGTGACCACTAGGGAATATTAGCTGTTGTAAGCATGGGTTTGGGGGTAGTGTAATGGATAATGGATCGGTATTGTTAATCGGAGAGCCGGGTTCGAATTCCGTTTGGGTTCGTCATATTTATTTACTCGGACACATCCTTCACCTCCTAATTATGGGTTAATTAAGACATTTATCTCCAAATCATTATTATCTAAAAAAATGTTCTTACAATCTAAAAATATTTTCTGCATTTAAATAACCTACAAATGATTGATAAGTCGTAGGAAACGAATCAATCAATCCTGACTAGGAAGAGGCGCAAAAGAAATTCTGATGTTTTATCGGATTTGTGGTGTCGCTTGAACCGTGAACCTTTCACCACGACTTTTAAACTCTGTGCTGATTTAAACCTCGGAAATATCTACATTTATAAATTCATTGTTGAAAGAATCAAAGAAAAGTGAGTATAGCGTAATGCAACCAAGGATTTTTTTCTATGTGTTGCATCCCTTCAGGACGTTGGCGATCATTGCTCTCCACTGTTTTCTGTAATTTATAACACATAATAAATTTTGTCTTTTTGAAACCTCTCTTAAACCCTGAAAATGTAGGTCTGGTAAAATGTTCCACGCCAGTTTTTCATTCATTAAGGAACTGTTTGCTTAGAAAATCGATGTGGCATTCTTCTTTCTCTAGTTCTATGTGTTGTGTCCCTTCAGGAACTTGGTGATCATGGCTCTCCACAATTTCCTGTCCTTTATAACTGTGACGGTTACACACCTGGCCCAGGGTCGAATGTTTTTGGTTACGGGCGTTAACTGTGACGTCGCTCCTCCTGGTCGCTCCTCCTGGTTCCAAGCGTGCCGCTCCAACCCCTTGGTTAGATGATCACCAGCCTCGCCTTTCCCAACTCGCTTCCAATACCTGGTTACTGAAGCAACTGTACTGATCTCCGGTCTGTCTACCCACGTTGTGTTTAGATCTTAGACAGACGGGACCAGCAGGATTGGGGCCGATACAAGTTGAGTCCGACGGGGGTGGCAAAACACAAATAAAAAAAAAACTCACGAGACAAAAAAATTGCTGATGAAAAAAAAAGGGTAACAACCTTTTATATCTTAATGTCCGTTACATAAAAACAAAATTGTTCTCATTTCCCGACCCGCTCTGTGGACTATGGCACCAAGCTTCTATCACACAACCTAAAGATTTCGAATTGCCCTCTTTTTAGAATTGTGTATGTCGGAGTGTGGTTTGGTTCGACACTGGGGCTAATTTCTATCGATCATTCGCAGTTGATTCTTCTCTTCGACTTGAGTTGTATTTCTTCTTCTTCTTCGTCGACTTAGGCTGGAAGTTCTCTTGTCTTCGACTTGGGCTGGAAGGATTTTTGCCGCAACTCAGCCGCAACTCTCTGTCGTCCGAGGTGATCTCTTCTCGCTGCCGTCCGGGGCTGAACTCTTCTGTCTTCGACTTGGGTGGAAGGATTTCTTGTCTGAGGATTCTCTTGCCCGCAAAGGGGCGAGTGAATCGGGCCCGATGCCCGCGTTCAGGCTCTTTCCCTGCCCGCGGTCCAGCTGCAACTCCACTCCAACTGATTTCTGTCGACTGGGGTCCTGCTTTTATTGACGCCGCAACAAACTGGGGTGGGTCTGTCCGCGTCAGGGTTTTCTCAATAATTCCAATAGTCGCATTTATTTCTGATTTCTCATTATCGCTATTGTTTTTTCACCCCTACTTCCTCACAGTGCCTTTTGGTGGGAGGCGCACACCCATCTCTCTTAGTCTCTCGTATGTCAGGTGACCGTTTTTCGACCAATGGTTCCTGATCGAGCATTTCTTTTCTTTTTCTTCTGCAGATCACGTGACCGTTTCCGACCAATTGTTATTGATCGAGCATCCTTTCTCCTCCTTTCGGGCGTGGTTACATCGTTCTTGTTTTTAAAAAACAAAATCCAATTTTGCCTTTTCTGCACGTACGAAAAATGACAATCTTGGCTTTTCTCACCTGGGCTCTGTCAAACAGCCCGCCGCTAATTAGTTGTGACTTCAGGAAAGAATATGGTCGCCATCTGTGATCTGAGACAATCGTTTTTTTTTACCTCTTTGTTTTTTTTGTCAGACCCGGCAGTCAGAAAATCTTAATTTATCTGAATTGAAAACATCTTTCACTCGTCAATGTGGGGGGTTCTAATTTTTAACAGGTCAGAATCTGTATACCGTTCCACCGGTCACTCCCCTCAACCCAAAAGACACTTTTTTCTCTGATTAAGATTGTTTCATTGTTCTAAAAAATTTTCTTTATCCAAATTGATAAGGTGTCTTTTCACGCAAAAAGTAGGCTAGATGCTTTTGACCGATATCTGGTTTTCATCAAGCGGCCCGTTTTGATATCATGTCTTTTCCCTTTCTTTCTTTTTTTTATTATTTCTAATTCTATTCTTCCAATTGTCTTTAAAAAATTCGGTCAACATGCTAGCTAAGATATCTTTCTGACTCGTGTTTTTTTTAATGACCGCTTTTTTTTTCATTTCTCTTTCTTTTTTTTTTTCCCTTCTTTTTTCTTCTTTTTTTAGGATCGTCCAAGTACAATCTTAGTGAATTATTTTCAACTCAATTATTTTCCGTTTTAAAAAAAATCAACAACCTGTTTAGTAAACCGAGTAAGAAAAAATTAAATCATATTTCTATGAATATTTCTAATAATGCAAGGTGCCACATAACTCCTATATTACATTTCTATATTAATTCCGTCATACTGTAAGTTTACTGCTGATTTTGTACACATTAAATGGCACAGATACATATCAAATATTTACGCACAACGAAGACCTGTACATATACATTACATACGTACATGCCAAGGCACACATAGGTCGTGTGATGTACAGAGAAACTTATTTTATAATATAGATTTCCTTCTCTATGCTGTGTCTCTTCAGGACATTTGCGATCATGGCTCTCCACATCTTCCTGTCCGTTGTAACTCTTAATAAACTATGTCCTTATGTTATCTTTCGTAATTCCTGAAAATTTGGATCTGGTAAATTGTGCCACGCTAATCTTCCAAGTAGGTATGACCTGCTTGCCTAGAAAATCGCTTTATTTACATTATTCGGACTATCGTCCTCATCTTTATATTTATATATCATATTTATTACAACGTTTCGGCCGTTGTACTCTCCGGCCTTCTTCAGGTGGTTGGAATGTCGAACTGAACCCTTTCGCTCACTGGGGTAGACTGTTCTAGTCCCAAGTGCCATGTTTTTTTTTAATGGATGTTAGTTATCAGTTATCTCCTGTTAATTGTTATTGAACTCACAATCTTTGGGTTCTGTCACTGGATCTAACTAACGCCTTTATCCACTGTGCCATGTGTCCTTGAGGACATCTGTGTATGAATTTCTGGGTATTATTATTTTATTATAAACCTAATGTCTTCAGCAATCATTTTTTACCAGTGCTCATATTGCAATTTTATCAGTTATCATTCCATGTTTTTACCCGAGATCATATTGCAATTTTTGTTGTTGTTATTATCGCTTTTCTCTGGCACTCATTATTACACCAGTGAGCGAAATAACGGGTTCAGTTCGACATTCCAATCACCTGAAGAAGGCCGGAGCGTACAACGATCGAAACGTTGTGATAAATATGGCGACAAAGATGAGGACGATAGTTCGAATAATGTCAATAGTGTACATAATACCTCATCTCAGAAATATAGACAGATACTAGAAAATCGTTATTTAAAATATTGGCATGTATTGTGAACAGCATGGTTGTGATGTTAAAATTTCATCGTGGCATTATATTCTAATTGCTGTAAAAGAAGTCATTGTTATTTAAAAAAGAAAAAAATGTCGAAGGAAAAGAAATAAAAGATTATGTCGTTTTCGTGGTTCCATACACAATGAAAAATCCTGTGTCGGCGGGGTGGCGGATAGAGCATTACAACACAGGCATTGATTTCCATTTCCTGTCAGACACACTTTCCAAAGAGGCGATAGTAATCGAATACGTTCAGGCAAATTGGGCGTCTATTAGAATGCTATCGATTTGGAGACAAAGGCACGTTACTTTTAGAATTACCATATGGCAAAAACATAGTCTTCTATAATAAGCCCCGGAGAGAAGTATTTAAAAAAAAAATCAAACTGCATTTGAACGAGCCAATAAAGATTTTGTATACAATTGTCACGTGCACATTTATTGGACATTATAGCATCAGATATTATTAATTATCAATGGGGTAATTTCTAATACTAGAATTTTTTTTTTGCAACAAGCTAACGCTTGTTGAGTTCCTCACAATATTTAGTATTGTTGAAGTTATGGATGCCTAACATTTTTTGACAAGATTTAAGAACTCTCAGTTTCGTTCAATTTTGCCCGCCGTATCAACTGGGGCTTCAGAATACGTCAACTGCACCTCTGCAGAGGGGTAAGACCCCGAAAATGAGGCGTCCTGGGTAAGATGATAAACTACATCCGCGTGCTGGGTAAGGCGATAAACTACACCCGAGAGCAAGGTCTCTGGCCGGTAGGTTTTGAGGAGCGTGGAACCACCTCTTAATTGCTGGTGTTCCCAAGTCCACCATGACACGGTGTAATAGATTCTGTTATTGTCCCAGCTATGGGCAAATAGTTAACCCCAAACTGGGGTCAAAACGCTATGAAAGTGTAAAAATATGTTTTAATACAAATAATACATTTTTGTAATAAATTATCACCAGCAATAGATTTTTGAAGAAAAAATATTACCAGCAATGCATTTAAAAAAAAAAACAACATATTACAAACAATATATGTTTGAAAAATATTACCAACAACAAAAATCTTTTCAGCATTAAATAACCCATTGACGTTGATATGTTGTAAAAGAAAACAAACTAAACCAATCAATTTCGCAAACCAATCGATGAAAAGTAAAATCCTGATTTGTTTGGAAAAATATTTTTGACAAAAAAAAAAAAAAAAAAAATACTTCCCTGTTTTTACGCACCTTAGTAAAACCAACTGTACTTTGTACTCTCTGACCTGTTTTCACTT